ATTATTATGAATTGCCAAAATTGCCAGACCATTAAGTCTTTTCTACAAAAAAAATTAAAACATTTTTCTCATTAGATATTATGAAAATGTATTTTATTAAGCACAAGTGCATAGCTATTATAATTACTAACCTAGGACATACTGTTTCGAAGATACGTTTTTATCCTTTTAAGACTGGAACACATTCTTTCAGGCGTACTTGTAGAAACAGGAAGTGTGCATAGTATTTTTAAAATAAAATGCATATTTGGATAAATATTGGCATTACACACATGTAATGCTTTAATTGCAGTTTTCGGAATATTGTTTATTCGCTCAAGTTTTATCTTCCACAATTTCAATTCTGCAATTGAGTTGTTCACATTCAAAGAAGGTGAATAAAATTCAAGTAATTTTCTAAATGATACCTCCTCATTAGAAGTTAATTTATAGGAAAATAGACTTTGAAATCCTAAAAATATGACATATATACATTATACATAAACCATAAAAGGTTGAATTTAATAATATAGATTGATTATATGAATATTTTATATCAGTGATTTGTTTTTAATTTTATAAAAACTAGGTACCAATTTAATTAAAAATTATCATAATGATTTAATTTAATATAGGTACCTTTAAAAATTTCAGAATGGATTGAAAATCTTTCTCCTAGTTGTTGTATAAAAAGAGTATAAATACTGACACTTTGTGGTATTCTTCAACACTTAAATTGGGATCTGGATTTGCTCGATTTACTTGTCATTTAGATATTCTTTTAGTATTTAAATTATATCTATATTTACTGACATCCCCTATTACAAATGTCAAATATAAACATAATTCTTTTCATATAATTCATATAATAATATAGTTTATTTTAGTATACTTACTTTTGCAAGCAAAAACAATTTGTGGAATTCAGTATCACAATTTAATCTGATATTTTTTAATACATTTATAATATCTTCAGCAAGGCTTACTGCTTCTCTCAAATCAATTTGTTCTTTTTGTAGAAACTTACACAATGGTAAACCAAAAGAAAAAAATCACCTGAAAAAATATTTTATTATAAAATAAAATATATTATATTTATTAATTACTATTTACTTGTATAACTTGTAAGGATATAAGAAATTCTGAATCAATAGCTTTTAATAGTATATTAGCTTCCGTTGCTGTGGAATCATTCCAATTAGAAATATTTTCTATTGAATCAACTACAAATGCAAATAGTTCAATGAAATCTGTTGCCGCATCATAACGCTGCACCCATCGTGTAGCACATAATATTTTTAAAGTTTTAACCTTAGGATCCTCATTACTATTTTCAATGTTGGTTAAAAGAACATTTTGGTTTTTGGTGTATTAAAGAAAACATAGTACTTTTCGATAATACCTAAGCAGTTTCTAATTGGTTGAATTCCACTTGCAGTTGATACTACTAAGTTCAGAGAGTGTGCTGCACAGTGCACATATATAACTTAAGAATATTTTTTTTGATAATTGCCTGAACACCTTTATATTGGCCAGACATGTTTCTTGCACCTTCATATCCTTGACCATATAAGTAATCTAAATTAATCTCACAACTATTCAGACCTATTTACAAAATATAATAACCATACAATTATTAATTTACTAAAAACATTATATCATTTTAATTTACTGTTGAGTATTGATTCAGCTAAATCACAACCAGTTAAACTGTTAATAGTAATCAATTTCAGGAATCTCTACTGGATACAATCGTTATCGTCAACATATCGAACACACATAGCCATTTGTTCAATAGTAGAAATATCAGTAGTCTCGTCAACTAAAACTGTGAAACATTTTGAAGCATTTACATTCTTAACTATTTTTCACAGCATAATGTCCCCACATGCTGTTATGATTTCATTTTGGATTTGAGGAGTTAGGTATTTGTTTCGTCCTTCATTTGTAATGATATGCTTTAACATCTCATTACCATATGTTCTATACTTTAATATGGCTCTAAAGTTGCTTTGATTAAATGAACATTCCACTATAATATGAAAAATTGATATTAAGGTTGAGTTGAATGGTAGCATTATTATATAATATGTAATGCTATAAAATTATTTAATTTTAAACATACTATCAATTTTTCCATAATCTTTATGCCCTCGTAGAGCAATCTCTTGACGACCACAAAGTATGACACAATCAACGATTGAAATGAGTCGCTCTCTATTCGCCTTGATTTGTTTAATTCTTAAACAAAAAAAAATATCAAAGTACATACTTACAGACTTAAGCTAATAAATGATTAAATACCTATCTGTATCCAATCGTTCTACTATAGTTGGCTCTTTTTTTAAATATATTTTTAAAAATTCATCAGATTTCAAAACAGAAAATGTGTGGTACTCTAATGCAGAATGATTTCGAAATACCTATCATTTAATTAAAATTATAACAATATAATAACATGTATTCACAGGGAAATAAAATTAAAATTAAAATAATATTAAATTATAAGCGATTAAAAGTTAAAACATTAATATATTCAATAATACCTCTTTAGCTTTTTCCAACTATCAAATACTTCACTAACCAAATATTTTAAAGATTGATTTCTTATTCCACCGGTTTTTGCAAAAACAACACAATGCTTACAAAAAGCTCCACCTTCAACTTCCAAATAAACAAGCCAATTGAATTCGTTCAGCCATTTATACTGAAATTTTAAACCTCTTTTTTTGTTTTTTTCATTTAATGGAAATACGTAATTATGATTTGGTAACCATAAATTGGTAAGTACCTACAGGTTTTAAACAAAAAATAATAAAAACAATTACATTGTTTATATTATATTATGATATATTGGTAGGTTTTAACTAAAGTTCAGACTAAATCCGACATAAGGCATTAGCATTCGAAAAGCTTACAGTATTTTTTTCTTCGTCTGATAATAAATCACGTTTAATAAACAAAGCAATGTCATTTTTACGAGCATCAAAATGTTCCCTCTAAAAAATTAAGATGCACAATCTAATTTATTAATTTTAATGCAATGTTAGCAGGCAGGAGTCAAGCAACAGGTATAATACCATAGAACGATACAGGTGCGGATCCATCCTACCTTAACGGGGGAGGGGGGGCGGTTTATAAATAAGTATACATATTTAGATACCTACTGCTAAATACAAGTATATTATATTATTATTATTATATATATATATATAAATAGTTATAAATGCAATAGTACATAATGCAATTCCTGATTATTTATGAATTTATAATGAATACTTTTGAAATGGACTTAAACAAATAATTAGTGTAATCTATACTGATTATTTATCAGAGACATATAAAACATATTTTAAATTAAACGTTTGTATTGTACAGCACTACTATTATATAAATACAATATGTAATCTAATCTGTGCTACAAGCATGATTTTGTATAGGTATCATATAAAACAGGTATAAATGTTCAGTAGTATTATAACTAATATGTACTTCAGATGTCAAGCATTAAGAGATTATTTTATTTATAATTATTAATATTTTAAAAATTATAAGTTATTTTTTAAAAATTTATTTCTAAATCTTGTTAAATTAATTTTGTTTTTTATCTAAAATATACAATACGGATACAATGAATAAAATAGTAAATGTTTATAAGATAATGCCCATTACTAAAAAAGACGTACTTAATGTTTTAAATTTGTTAAAAAACAATTATTTTCATGATGAACCTTTAAATGCAAGTACTATGTTAATCGAAGAAAATGCATCGGTGATACAACTTGAGAATTATTGCAAATCATACTTAGACAAAGGTGAGCTCATGTATTTAATTACATGGTTGTACAATCATTTTACAAATGAATCATATTACCGTTCAGGGTTTAAGATTTTACTTAAACAATATATATATATATTTACTACATTAAGACTTAAAGTATAAAATAAAAAATAACGAATACTCTTATAAATGTACTGTACATATGTACTATATTCTTCTTCAGTTGATGTAATTGTATCTGCTATTTTTTTTTTCTGGACGAAACTGTAGTCTTGTAAAATTCTATTACAACAATAGGAAAACAAAAACACTGACAAAATTTTAATATTGTACTTTAAAAGAACCGTAATAGTCCATACAAATACATGCATACCTTCTAAAATGCAATAATTCTTTTTGGTCTAGTTTTATATATCGTTTTTCGTATACCTGATGTGCTTTTCGTTTTATTTAGGAATATCATTAATGGCGGTATCAGAAGACGGCGTCGTTATTGGTGCTATTTTAAATAATATAATGCGTAGGAATGACGTAAACAATTGTAATAACGAAAACTGTAAAGAAAGTCCAAAATTTAATGACATTACAACTTTTTTGGACAAAGCTGAGCGAGAAGTCGACATTTTTAATCAATACCCAAACGTGGATCTCATAATGGATATGAAAATAATAACTGTAGATAAAGCTTATAGAGGACATGGCATTTGCAAAGCTCTCGTCGACAAAACGAAGTATAGTAGAAAACTTTTTACATTTATTTGGTTTCCTTCTCTCCTGGTTCGCGTTGTGGTGTATTATTTAATTATTTGCAGTAATGTATGATAACATTTTTTCATCGTTGATATTGCTATTTTTGTAATTTTTTCAAAAATAACAATTGAAATTCGATTAATATTATATTAAAATTATAACCAGATATCATAATTTTCAACTTTCCTATGTACGAGATTAAAGTATTATCATTTACTCTTTATTGCAAACTAATATATATATATATATTTGTATATAAATATAGGTGCCACCATTAATTCTATTAGGGGGGGGGGCAGTGGCGAAGTTACGGGGAAAGTGTAAGAGGTTTACATCCTCCCCCCCGCAGATTTTTTTTTTTATGATATTTGATTATTATTTATTGATATTTACATATTATAGTAAAATATTTCGATTTTACTATGATTAGGTATATATTAAAAATTGAGTAACAAAATAATTTTCATTAAATACAGGACATAATAATAATACCATTTTCAATGTAATATTATTACATATGACCTCGTCTTAAGATATATTAAGAACACTAAAAAACTTATTCATAAATACCCCATCCAGAAAAAAATTGTATCTACGCCACTGAGGGGGGTATCATGCATAGTGTATACGATAATATCTAAATAATGCTTAAATAATTTTATTTTTTTTGACGGTTATAAAGTAATGCAGGCTACTAGAATATCCGACAATGATAGCCTCTATTCTAAATGTTTATACTTCTTTTTTATAAATCCAAGGAGGTGCAAGTGCACTCTTGCACTCCTTTTGCGGCGTACTTGTACTCATAGTTCCCAGAGCTAGGTGATTAAATAATTCAAAATACAATTTTCATATTTTGAGATAAAAGCAATAATAAAAATGTAATTTTATAATATATATTCCAGGGAGTTGGCATTGGAACTAGGATGTCAAATGATGTTTTTGGAGTGTTCCAGTTATTTTACTGCAAAAACAGCAGAAGGATTTGGATTTAAACGTATATATTTGCTGCCATTTTTGAACTACGTGAACGAACAGGGTGAGATAGTATTCAAAACCCAGCCACCACATACACATTTTAGAATTTATGTATTAGTCCTCTAAACAATTTAAATTATTAAAATTGTAATTTATTCATTAAAAAAAAAAAAAAAAAAATCAATTATATCTATATGTAACAATGTTAATGCATTGTAGATTGAGTGTTGTCCTTTATCCCCCGGCTTCTCCTTGTATATATATATACATATGTAAATATAAATTAGCAGTTGTTAAAGTTGATAAATTTTATCTTAATAGTCTTATAATTAGATATACATATATATTATAAATACATTTTTTTTTAATTATAAAATATAAATGAAGGTGCAACAAGTTATATAAGATATATTACATTTATCAAATAATTTATAAATTCACGCTCGGCATACATATTATACACAATAAATAATTATTAATACCATTGAAAATTGACAAATATTTTATACCACATAAAGGTAACTAATAATATAGTTATATTATCATTCATTATATTAAAAACACTAATAATGTACAACAAATAGTAAACAAATAACTTAGTAAAATTACCTTTGGCTTTTTTCAGAAATAATCTGTAATTTGTTCACAATGAGTGAAATAAGTAAAAAAGATTTGTCTTATACCATAAAGCTTATCACTGCCAATGATATACCAATTGTACTAAGTACTTTTACAGATGAATTCTTGTGTGATAAACCTTTAAATGGAAGCATTGGGTTAATTAACGAAAAAGAATCTGTTGCGGAACATGTGGAATTTTGTATAAATTACCTACAAAAAGGTTAATTGATAGAATTTAAATCAATTGTACCAAATTATGAATTAAACATTTTATTATTATTTAGTTTTGATGGGAGTAAATTTTTGAACATTTTTATAGTTTTATAGTACAAAAAAAATCAAAGTTTTTTTTAAAGAAATACTAAATAAACAGTTGAACATCATTATGCAATACAGTACTGGTTTCTACTGCAAAGTTTTACTAAACTTGTTTTAATAAATATAACTTTATTATGTTGTTCTAATATCTTACACACATTCAGACAAAATGTAAAAATTTTTAATATATGTATAAATATATCATTAAAATAAAAAAACATTTAAATTTTGTTACTTTTGCAACAAGATCTAATGGTTTATTGTTCTGAGCATTTTGATGGTTCTATATATATATATATATATATGTACAAAGAAGAGTGTGATAAGTGCATGTTCTACAGCGAAACCAATATTAGAATTGAAAAGAAGAAGATAAATTTATGTATTTATGTATTTATATATATTAATTAATTAATTGATGACAAAATATTCTAATATTTTTTAATGTTATAAAATAAATGTTTATTATCAAATTTATATTCTCCATAAATTCTTGCTTGACACAAATGGTTTCTGTAAATTCAACTAAATTATTTTAAATCTATGATCAAAAAATGTAAGTAATTAATCTGTAAAAATTTTCAAATAATTCAACTTTACAAATATAATATTATTAAAATATTTATTTTTTGACAAGTGCTATTAAAAAATTAATGAACATTGTTTATGATTGTTTAAGGTGTTGAATAAGAACTTGAATATTTTTAGTAACACAGGACTCAAGGTGTGCTGTGCTATCTTAGTAAATCTTCTTGGGACACTCCAAATAAATCAACTTGTTACAAATATACCTACTTAACGTTATTTTAGAAATAATTTACTTTATAAGTTCTTTTTTTTATACTTCATAATGTTTGTTGATATTTAGGAATATCAGAATGGCAGTATCCCAAAATGGTGAGGTTATGGGCGGCATTATATGTAATATAACAGGAAGGACTGATATTCAGTATGATGGAAACTTTGATAAATATTCTGAACTTAATGCTAAGGTTGTTATATTTTTGTATAAAACCAAGTTACAGTCTAATGTATTTGGTCAGTATCCGTCTGTAGACCATATATTAGATATGAACATTATTGCAGTCAATAGACCTTACAGAGGAAATGGCATTTGTAAATCACTTGTCAAAAAATCTAAGTATATATAATTTAAACTTTATAATAAAAAATATAATTTTTGGACTATGTGCTATTTCTACAATAAAAAAAAATATTTTAAGTACAATGAACATTATCATTTGTAACTATTTTAATGTTATTTATTTCCAGAGAGTTAGCAATAGAATTAGGATGTCAAATGATTTATGCTGAATGCTCTAGTAACTATACTGCAAAAGCTGTTGAAAATTTTGGCCTAAAATGTATACATTCAGTGAATTATGCGGATTATATTGATGAGAAGGGCAATGTTATGTTCAAAACTCAATCACCCCATGAAAGTTTTAAAGTCTATGCATTACTTTTGTAAAATATTTGATTTAAACATTGTTTATCATATTCATCGATTGTTTCATTTTGTGAATTACATCAATTCTGACTATATTCATGATTTATATTTTATTCCTAATTGATTATTAAGCCTTATTATAATTAATTATTACTATATATAAAATAATTTCGTTAATGATTTCATGAATATTTTTGTTTGGTGAAATACATTGCTGAAATTATTTAAGATGACTAATGAGAATATTTAGTTTTTAAAATCAGTTGTTAAATTTTCCTAACAGTTACTTCATAATATTAATTATTATATATTATTAATTAATATTTACTAAATAAGGTATATGTAATGGTAATATTTCAGTATATCTTAGTTTGCAATAAGTATTATTTTATCAGCAAATTTTACAAAATTTTAATAGTTGCTATTTTAAAATAGAAATGACATTTGTAGATAAAAAAAAAAAGTAGCAGTTTGTTATCACTAGGGCTGTGAATTATGATTATTGATATTTTCTATTCTTAATGCTATTCACCTGGAACATTTTTTACATTATTTTTTTTTTAGTATTTATTTTGTTAAAATAGTAAAACAAACTTAAATATATTTATTTTTCGGGTACCTTATTCATCTTTAGTCTTTAGAATTAGATTGAAAATACCGGAAAATATAATCAAAAAATTACTTAAAAACTGAGAAACGTCAAAAAATGCAAAATAAAAGTTGCATTAATGGATTCGTAGTTACATAATTCAAATTATATATTTACAAAGCTACGTTTTGAAATCACCAAAAAAAAAAAAAATTCACTATCTTACAAAATCATAGCTCTATCACTAATTGCTAGTCAATTATGTGATCAAATTTAAGATGCTTCACAAAACCACAGATGTATTAATGCACAAAATCTTTTATATGTACCAAAGCACGAATATGAGTGGTTTTATCACAGATTATTTTAAACAGAAAATAATAGTAAACATAAATAAATTTGATTATATAATCATATTATGAAGGTTTAATTTTTGTTTCGTCGGTCTCATTTGTTGGCAGCACTGTCTTCCGGACAGTGGTACAAGTGCGGTCGCCCGATCGTCTCGTTTCCGATCGACCCCCTCTTCACTTCTGTAGAACAGTTGTTCACATCGCGTGTGTCTATACCGCCGTTTCGGTTCATGGTTATAATCTTTTCCGTCTGATCGTGTCGACGACAATACATCCAAAATGGTGAGTACAACTATTAATTTTCCATCCGTTCGAATCGTCGTGGGATTCGAACTCAACGGCCGTCGGTCTGTCGCGATTCCCGCGGAACTCGATCGCCCGTCGGAATCTGATGGCGTTCGTCCGGCAACATCCCAACGACCGACCGTACGCGGACCGTTGGCCTAGGACAACGGTGGCTGCGTTTTTTTTACTCATTCCCTAACCGCCGACGCCTTTGATTATGAATCCGTGTTTTTTCAGTCTCTGGTCATTCCCGAGAAGTTCCAGCACATCTTGCGTATCCTCAGCACCAACATCGATGGCAAACGTAAAGTCATGTTCGCCATGACCGCCATCAAGGGTATCGGCAGACGTTTTTCGAACATTGTGTTGAAGAAAGCCGATGTCGACCTGAACAAGCGGGCTGGTGAATGTACCGACGAAGAGGTTGTATATATCGTTTGTTATTGTCCGATTCATATTTATATTGGTGGACACGTACGCTACTGTGTACACCGCCGTCGTGTACTTGTAGGGATATGATAGCAAACGTCATTGAGAATGTTCCGTCAGTTGTTTGTTCGACGTAATAGTGTTTACGTTTGCTAAAGTGAATGCCTTGCAATTACCAAGGGATTTTAGTGGACCATTGCTAAATGCCCATGCTTGTGAAGGAACAACTTAATTAAAAAAGATTTTCAAAGTTTTTAAATATTTTTATTTGTGAATTCATCTTAGCACAAACTGAGAAATTTTGCTTTCTGTACTTGAAAAGCTAAATCGTTGGATTGTGCTAAATTGAATTGCATTTTTTGTTTAGAGTTAATACATTTATTAATTTGTTCATATGTGTGTTGACAAAGTTATTTTGTATAGATAATTTGTTTATTAGGTTATTCTCAATATTTGTTGATTTACAATATATGTACAATGCACAATTATTTAATAACTAAACATTTATTTCTTTATAATAATAAATGTCAATAATTGTGCTATAACATTAATCTTCATTAGGATAATATAAATGCTATTCATTCATTTGATATTCTATCGGTGGAGAGACAGTAAAGTTTTTATATTTTTTAAAAATTTATTGGTTGGTGTTTTAGTTAAAACTTGAATAAGCATAATCAACGGTTCATGATGTTTTATATATTATGAAATTGGTAAATTATGCAAAATAAATTATTTTATATAAAAATCTATTTAGTAAATTATTTAATAATATTTTACTTAGATTTATTTTAAGTACATAATTTTTCATACTGTCATGAATTTAAACTCTTATTTAATATTTTAGTTGATTTATCCATTTATATGGTATTAAGCACAATCAACGGTTCACAATGTCCTATATGTTATGAAATAGGTAAATTGTGCAAAATAAAATATTATGTGTAGTATTACATTAACTATTTCTTATTGATTTTGGCTAGTATCTATTTAATTACATATCTGATTGAACTGTTAATATTCTTTTGTCTTACATTTTTAATTTAAATTTAATTTAATTTTATTTTATTAAAAGGTTAGTTTTTATGAAACTATTTTAATGTAAAGCTTATAATTCTTAGGTTGAAAAAATTATCACAATTATGCAAAACCCACGTCAATACAAAATTCCAGACTGGTTTTTGAACAGACAAAAAGATGTTGTTGATGGAAAATACTCTCAAGTAAGTTATTTAATTCTGTTTGAAATGTTGGGTATTTCAGGTATATCAGAAATTTTAAATTTTTATATTTTTAGCTTACCTCAAGTTCCCTTGACAGCAAATTGCGTGAAGATTTAGAAAGATTGAAGAAAATTAAAGCTCATCGTGGTCTCCGTCATTATTGGGGGTATGTTAACTACTACTTTATAATATAATTATATTTATTTATGATGTTGAGTTTTATAAAGACAATTTTTCATATGTATATATATATACTTGTTCTTATATTAATTTGAATTTAATTCAATTGCATTACATTGGGTTAATAGGTTTTTGAAAATATATTTGATGAACTAATTCTAAATTTTTATCAGCCAACAATTTTGAAAGTTTCCAATAGATCTTACACTAAGTAGTATAATAAAATCAAAATTTGATTATTTTTACTTTTCAGTCCCCTTTTCCATTACAACGGACATGTATTTTAATTATTAATTATTAATCTTCTGTATTAGATAACAATTTGAAACTTGAAACATATTACCAAGAATGTTTTTAATTTTATTTTCAATTACTTTCTAATAAGTTTAAAAACAATTTTAATAAAGAATAAAACTATTGTATTTGAATTTTTTTTTATTTTTGTAATTTTGTGAAAAACTTCACGAGTTAAAAATTTAAAGAGAATGATATTGTTGAATTACTCAATGGTTATGATGATGATCTAACTATGAAAATGAAAACGAGTTAGTTGAAAATATAAATAATATTGTGAAAATATAAAACTTTTCCCTAATTTTAATTGTAACTTATAGATGAAAATTAACCTGAAGTTTTTTTATAATATGATGGATTTCTAGGGGGAGAAATATATTTTTATATTTTATATATTAGGGGGAATTACACATTTTTTAAAATGCATATTATATTATTTGAATTAGTATGATGTTGATTTTGAATTAATGATTCAATACATAACCATATATGCATTTCATAAAAGAAAATCTTTAAAAAATATAGAGTAAGAAATGATTAAGACTGAATTAAATTTCCTAGAATTATGATGTATTGTAATCTGATTTTGAAAATATGAATAGAAATAGATCATTTGCACTTAGAACAAATGTTCATGTTATTTAAGTGTTTGTATTAACAATAACCATAAATTTGTTAAATTAATAGTTTCTGTTGAGTTACAATGTCCTTTGCAATGGACAATCTTCTCATTTGGACAAAAATGTGTTAGTGTTCTCAACTTTTTTTAATATTTTTTGATGTCCTAAAAACAAGGTTTCTTGATAGACATTTTTTTTATATCATAAGTGGGATTGAAAAGGTTAAAAAATGTAAGAATTTTATAGGTAGAATGTATAGGTAAATGTAGAACTACTTATATGATAAAATATTATGTGCCCTTAAAATTTGACTAGGATACATTTTTCCCTGCACAGATGGTTATAAATTCAATTTGTATTGGACATATAGGTTTTAATATTATGAATTTGTGTTGTTTTCATGAAACTGTTTGATATTTTTTCTTTAAAAAATATCAAATTATTAATACAGAAAAGTGTATATATTTTGATTAACAATTATAATCAACTAACTTTAAAAACAATTATTTAAACATCTTATTTTATGGTAAAATCATTGAAAAATAAAAATAAATTGTTCTTTTATATTTTAATATAAACATTTCTGAAATTAGTATTATGTTTTTATTTTAATTTTGAAAATTAATATTAAATTAAACATTATTTTAGATTGAGAGTTCGTGGTCAACATACCAAAACAACTGGACGTAGAGGAAGAACTGTTGGTGTATCCAAAAAGAAATAAGTTAATAAAAGTGATAATTTTTATTCAAATCTAAATTGTTTTTTTTTACCATCCATTTCTATTCTGGTTGCTATTTATTTAAAAATGAGCACTTCTTTTTTAACCTGAAGTGCAAGCGACCCGCCCCGGCCCTGCACATGTATTATCTGGATCTGCAATATAATTAATTTGTAGAAATTTGTGATAATTTAGTCGATGTGGTAGCAAGCTCCCAGTTGAGTGATACACTTGCCCTTGAATTGTCCACGCTCAAATGCTTGTTTTCTCTAGAAAGAGGTCATTTGAGATGCATTATTATAACAATATATATTGTGTATGAATTGTTTGGATTTCTGATGATCATCAACGTTAGAAGCAACTGTTTTCTACTATTTATAGGAAAATAAAAAGCATCCCATTTTAGGTCCTAATTTGATAAAATGAAAATTTTTACTTAATTG